AGTATTGAGAAGAGTTCCCTGTGCTATACAGTAGGTCCTTATTAGTTATCTATTTTATATATTGTAGTGTGTATATGTCAATCCCAATCTCCCAATTTATCCCTCCTCCCCCCTTCCCCTTTGGTAACCATAAGTTTGTTTTCTACATCTCTGTTTTGTAAATAAGTTCATTTGTACCATTTTTTTTGGATTCCACATATAAGCGATAGCATGTATTTGTCTGACTTACTTCACTCAGTATGACAATCTCTAGGTGCATCCATGTTGTTGCAAATGGCATTATTTCGTTCTTTTTTATGGCTGAGTAATATTCCATTGTATGTATGTACATCTTCTTTATCCATTCATCCACTGAAGGACATTTAGGTTGCTTCCATGTCTTACCTATTGTAAGTACTGCTGCAGTGAACGCTGGGGTGCATGTATCTTTTTGAATTATGGTTTTCTCCGGATATATGCCCAGGAGTAGGATTGCTGGGTCGTATGGTAGTTCTATTTTTAGTATAAGGAACCTCCATACTGTTCTCCAGAGTGGCTGTACCAATTTACATTCTCACCAACAGTGGAGGAGGGTTTCCTTTTCTGCACACCCTCTCCAGCATTTATTGTTTGTATTTTGATGACAGCCATTCTGACTGGTGTGAGGTGACACCTCATTGTGGTTTTGATTTGCATTTCTCTCATTTACCCTACTTCTTAATGTCACCCTACTTCTTGCTTATTAGCAATTTAAAGTTCAGGGACTGGGATGGCTATGTCCAGTCTGAAAGTAGAAGAATGAGGCACTTCCTGATACCAAGGTAGAGTAGTCTAGAAAACTACTTTCACCAAGTAGTAACTGGTGAAAAATGAGTTTGGAATATTTCACAGGAATTTAATTTGGGAACTAGAAGTTCTCATGATACGTTTTCTTTTCACCTTTTATTTCAAAAGTTCTATTGAGATTTTAAATACATAAAGTGTAAAAAAAATTTAAGGCAGCTTGAAATTTTACTATTTATATAATCTTTTGAAATGAAATGCTATTATGTTAAAGGAAGTGGGTAGTTATAGAATCCCTTGTAATTATCTCCAAGTGGATTGGCTACTCTGCGTTTACCCGTTGATCACGTGTGCACTGGTAGACAAGCCATGGGTATTTCCATGATTAATTTGTGTGAAAGGGTACTCATATATGGAGTAAAAATTCTAGCTTTGCAATGTAAGCACATTGTGGCATTTCAGCTGTCGTGGACACTGGGTTTGGAAGATCATGACTCTTAGAAGTCTTAGTACCTTCATCTATTAAATGAAAAGAATCCCTGCCCTCTCGAGGTCTGTACTGGCTTAGATTTCTTGCTCACTATTATGAGCAGGCATGCTTGTCCTGTAACCAAAAGCTCAGTTGTAGCCTACTTCTTGAGCAAGGAAGTAGAACTTCACACACACCTTCAGCTAACTCAGCTCCACTTGTTCTGTTAAAGCAACTTGGGAACCATGGAGAATGTATAACACATGGGAATTTAAAACATAGAGTCCAGAACAAACATAAAGAAAAAGACCCTTTACATTGGTCTTAGCAACAAATGTTTGGATATGAAACCAAAAGCACACAAAAAAGCAAAAATAAACAAGTGGGACTACACATTAAAAAGCTTCTGCACAGCAACAGATACAGTCACCAAAATGAGAAGGCAACCTACAGAGTGGGAGAAAATATTTGCAAACTACATATAAGGCATTAATGTCCAAAATATTGATATATAAGGAACTCCTACAACTCTATAGCAAATAAAATCCAATTAAAAAATGGGCAGAGGATCTGAAGAGGCATTTTTCCAAAGACGTACAAGTGGCCAACAGGTACTTGAGAGAGTGCTCACCATCACTAGTTATCAGGGAAATGCATATCAAACCCACAGTGAGTTATCACCTCACACCTGTTAGAACAGCTATTATCAAAGAAACGAGAACACACACAAGGATGTGGAGAAGAGGGAACCCTTGTGCACTGTTGGTGGGAATGTAAATTGGTGCAGCCAGTATGGAAGACAGTGTGAAGGTTCCTCAGAAAACTAAAAATAGAGTTACCATATGATCCAGCAATCCCACTCCGTGGTATATATCTGAAGGAAACATAAACACTAATTCAAAAAGATACATGCACCCCAATGTTCATAGCAGCATTACTTAATTACTAAGGTATGGAAGCAACCTAAGTGTCTATCAACAGATGAATGATTAAAGAAGATGTGATCCATATATACAATGGAATATTATTCACCCATGAGAAAAAAAAAATCCTGCCATTTGTAACAACATGGATAGACCTGAGTGTGTTATGCTATGTAAAATAAGTCAGAGAAAGATATACTGTATGATCCCACATATATGTAGAATATTGAAAAAAAACAAACTCAGAGAAACAGAGTAGAATGGTGGTTACCGGTGGCTGGGAGGGGGGGGAGATGGGGAGATATCAAAGGGTTACCAACATCCAGTTATGAGATGCACAAGTTCTGGGGATCAGAACTGTAGTTCAGCATGACGACTATAGTTAACAATACTGTATTATATACTTGAAAGTTGCTAAGAGAGTAGATCTTAAATGTTCTCACCACAAAAAAGAAATGGTAATTGAGTGAGGTGATGGAGGTGTTAACTAATCCTACTATGGTAATCATTTTGCAGTGTATCAGTGGATCAAGTCATCACCTTGGTACACCTCAAGCCTACACAATATTATATCAAATATATCTTGGTAAAGCTGGAAGAAAAAAGAATTGACTGTATGTGAAAAGTCAAATGACAGGCTGAGAGAAAATATTTGTAATAAATACATCCAGGTAAGGATTTGCATCACAAATGCATAAAACATTCCTACAAATCAATTAAGATAACTGAATTTTTAAAAACACACAAGACTTGAACACCTCATAAAAGAGGCTATTGGGACTTCCCTGGCAGTCCAATAGTTAAGACTCCATGCTTCCATTGCAGGGGGCACAGGTTCGATACAGCGGGTCGGGGAACTAAGATCCCCCATTCCTCGTGGTGCAGGCAAAACAAAAAAACGGAGGAGGACATCAAGGTGGTCAATGACAGACTGAGTGTTCGGTATCACTAACCATAATGTGAAGGCAAATTGAGATACCACCATGCACACCGAATGGAAACGTAAGTCTGAGAATAACAAGTGTTGGTGAGGATGTGGAACAACTAGAACTTTTCTACACTGTGGTGGGAGTATGAATTAGTATACGACTTTGGAATAATGTTCGGCAGTACTGTCTAAAGCTAAATATACCTTATTTCTGAGCAAGGTCAGAAATATCAATATTTTATAGTTTTAAAGTCAAATCAACCTTAGTCAAAATGTTTCACATTGACATTATATAACGGTGAGATCTGAATTCAATTTAGAAAGTGTACAGATTTCTTGTTTACCAAAGTATAACAATATTTGTATCAGTATACTACTGAATGCATAGTTTGCAGAAAGGTGAACCATGGGTGGGGCTCTATGTAGGATTTTACAGAAAAGCCTCATTTTATTATAGAATAGAAATTTAAATGAAACTTTGAAAAGTTTTGGGCTACATATGTTTCCATAGAAGAGATCTACTTAACTCTCTAAAAATGCTGACCTTTTGACGAGGCAGTATCTGAAGGTGTGGGTCAGTAGCCTTCGTAAGCCTTTTAGGGTTTACCTCATGCAGAGTTCAGGCTAATAAATGCATATAGTTAAAACACCATCTCCATCCTAATTACAGAGAAGAGGGAGCTTTTTAATCCACTTATTTGGGGACAGATCAATAAATGCTTTTACTAGTTTTTAAGGATGGTTCATTAAGAAGGAAAAAATAGATTGCAGATAATATATACTGCACCCATTGCTATTGCTAAAATGATCTTTAAATCAAGCGTAAGGATTTCATACTTTAGTACAAGCCAGGTCACTGGGACAACTGAATGGTATGATGTCATCTCTTCTCTAGACAGTTTATTCAATCCAGAGAAGAAGGCAGGAAGGGTAGAATACATGCTCGTTAGGAACAATAAAAGGAAGAATACATGCTCATTTCCTTTTTTTAAAATGACATCCAGACTTAAAAAAAAAACAACTCTGAAATCTTCCTCTAGCCTGAAATATGAAGGGTCTATGTTTGCAGCCAACAGTACATCCTGTTTACGATAAGTGATTCGAGTTCCTGGAATGTCCTTTAAAAAAAAAATCTAACGCTTAGATTTTTACACTGCCCCATGCTATTTCAGTGGAGTGGGAGCTTGTATGGGGGGATGTGTCATTGTGTAAGGTGGTCCACCTCCAATCCCCTATGGAACAAGATGGAATATAGAAATGTGTTTAAAAACTTAACCAAAGAACAAAACCAGAGCACAGCAATTTGTAATGACTGTTTATTAACACATGTATCACAAATGTTCACAATATCAATGCATTCTTGTTGGCATGCGAGACAGAGGAATTGTTTTTTAGGATCTTTAAAAAATATTTTGACTATTGTCCCCCCTTCACACTCATTTTTAAATTGATTTGATGAGGTCCTCGATGTCTGTAATGTCAATGCAAAGAAAAAATATAGAAAGAAGTAAAGTAACAATAGCAGTTAATTGGGGAAAAACAGAAGTAATATTATTTCCTTCACAGGAAGCAACAATACAGCTTTGTAACAGGATTATACAGGTGCACTAAACTGTCTATAAGTTCCCAGGCATGTAACAGTAAGGAGCAAGGATGCCACCCAAAGCTCGACAATTTCCTTCGTGCGTGACACGTGCCTTTTTCTCCTCATGGACAATTACCAATGTATCTCTTTACATGTCTTAGGCAGCCTGAAGAAGGTAGGCAAGAGCCTTAGTAAAAGGGAAAACCCAACCAAAGGAGATTAAGCCAAAAGAACAGATAGCTATCTGCTTATCTACATCTGGGGGGGGGGAGGTGCGGCATTTATCAATCATGATCAAGGGCTAACAGGAGCCTCCCACACTACATGCAGTAGTGAGCTGCAGTTGGACCAAGTACAGATGGAGGAGGTGGCACACACAGAGCCTTGGGTGGGGTCCCCTAGGACTAGATGCAGGGAACCTGGCTACACTCTGGCACAACAGGGCTTCACAAGATGGGATGCTACGCATGATGCAGGCTCAAAGGTGGAGCAGAGACTGTGTGGGAGTGTCAGTTGCACGGGGTGAGGGTGTTAGGACAGGTGTATTATGTACTGTGCTCTAATATTCTTTGGAAGTCTTTCAAAGATTGCTGCAGTTCCTTTCGAAAACAGGTCTCTTCTTCCATCGTTCTTGAAAGACTAAGAGAAATTAAAACATGTGAGTGACTCACCGTTAATAAGGCCTTAAAATAAGGTAACAAGCTGAGGAGAGCGTTTCGACGTTTTCCAGAGCAGTGATCACATCTCCTCCCGAGCACCACAGAAGTGAGGCTTCGGCGTGTGGCCAAGTGCCACCGAGATCAGAGTGAAGTGGCCAGGCAGCACTCTTGTCCCTTTGAAGGGGAGTATGTGCCCCAAAGGGAGAATCCTAGACTTAACCTCCCCCCACCATCACTCACCTTCTTACACCATCTCATACTGGTTGGCCGTGATGAACCGAGACAGACAGCAGGCCAGCAGCATGCCGATCAGCTGTTGGCAGAAGGAAAAAGAGAACGAGGCTCTGAAGTCACTGAGCTAACACATTTCTAACCCCCCCCCCCCGATGTAATTTTTCACAACTGAGGGCTCTTGTACATGAATGGGGAAAGGGCACTAGGGAAAACGATCAAACCCGATTTCAGTAGTGGGATCTAAGACTTAGGGAGTCTAAGTGCTAGTGGAGGTCAGCTGGAGGTTCTCCAACTGACCATAAGGTTCCAAGTCTAGCTCGCTCTGGCCATTAAAAACAACTTTTGACGTGTAAGTAGTAGTAAAATGTGTTCATGTGTTCTGAGAATAATGGAAAAAATTAAGTACCGCAGAATTAGCAAGATAGTAACAAAATGCCAGAATTCAAAACCATAAGCGCATGCATTGGGAAGCTCTCTCAACACAGGATGATACCCCAGCCATACCCGGCTGGCAGGATAATAGTTCTTTTCCTTGAGACAAGGGTACGCTAATCCTTGACTGGGTGAGTTTGCCAGTGAAGTAAGTCATGACTTGTGAGAAGTGGGGTGGAGGGGGGGCTTTAATTTCTCTTTGTCTCTAAACCATGTAGATATTTTAGGCCCCAATGGGCCCATCTACGCCCAAGGTCTACCCCTTGGTTTTTCAGGGGCCCCAGCACAACCAATATCTGGGTACCTCCACCCCCTCAGAAGACCTCAGTCTTCTGCCCACTTTGTGCCGTGACTTAACCTGTAACACAGGTGGATCTGATAAAAAGCTGTTGTAACACTAGCAAGACATCCTTAAGCGCAGATGCTTAAGGGTCTGCTCATAGGAAACCAAAATTCCCATTCCTGC